CCCCCAGCTTCTCGGTTGCCGTGACAACAGGAGAAGCCCGGCTCACGTTTGCCCAAACGGCAATGAATGCAGCTCGCCGGATGGATTCGTTGCTCGCATACAACTTATCCTCCGGACGACTCGGTCGTCTGCTGCCGTTGCCTGCTTATAATATTCTGTGGGGGTTTCAAATGTAAGTTTAACGCTGGGGGGGCGGGATCCACCCAAATTGAATCGCAAATACATTTCGTCACTCGGTGTCAGGTCATATTTTGATTGGCTGCCATTGCCGGTTTACATTGAAAGAAGCCATGAGGGCCCTGATTGTATTTTAATGCCGCCGCAAGACGATTGCCAAGTTTCACCTCTGACCCGTCGGGGCGATAATTTCCGCCGCGCCCATCCCCACCGCTCTCCCTTCCCTCCCCGAGGAAATCAGGCTGGATCTATGACCGTCATTTACATCTGAGCAAATTAAAGCGGCGGTGTCTCGTTATTGCCTCGGGCCTCATGAATCAAACTTTATTGACCAGTTGGAGAGTTGCAGACACCCGTTGAATATAAAGTGCCAGGGAAAAGCCACACTTTTTTTTTTGGAAGTGGAGGTGCGGGGGATGGGGGGGTATCTGTGGATTCTAAATGGGATGGGCAACGCTGAGCACCAAAGCAGGGATGAAATTGAAGCCTCTGCTTCTCATAAATATGACGATGGGAGCGTTACGATACATGTAAACGCGATCTTAAACAATCAAGGCAGACTTGTATTTGTCAAAGATAGCACGGACATCTTGTGCGATTTTTTACAATTTTTTTTTATGGACCGCCGTTTCAGGAGAAACGATGCATTTTACGATCTTGGGCATCCAATTAGATTTTCTATTAAGTTTCACATGTCTGGTATTGTCATCACAGCAGCTTTCATGAAGCAATATGTCGGGCTGTGATGTCATGATGGAAAACACTACATTTGTGACATACAGTCACCGGTGATGACGTTGTGTTACTTGGTGGTCATTGCTGAGATTTTCTTTTCCCCTTCTTGTTGGTGTGTCCTTGCTTCTTTGATAAGGTCACGCTGTACCTGCTGTTGCTTGTCAGGAAAGGCAGATGGAAAAAAAAGGGCTTCTGAACCCCGTTGGCCTAAATACGATGCCACGCTGTCGTTCTGTGACTGGTCGCCCCTTCCTTGTCGCACACCGAGAGAGCAATTTGGTGTTACTGTAAAAGCCCGTACCGTATTTTCCGCACTAAAAGGCGCACCATAAAGCCTTCCATTTTCTTAAAAGCTCACGGCGCGCCTTAAAATCCGATGCGCGATGTGGACGGTTATTACGGTAATTTGTCGACCCCAAAATGGCTCCTTGCTCGAGACATGCTGACGACGCAGAGTTCAAACTTAAGGCGATAGGGGTTACGCAGTCGAACACGGAAATAGAGCAGCGGTAAGAGAGTTCAACGTGAACGAGTCAATGTTATCACTTGAACTGTGTCGCTGTTTTATTAAATACGTTTGGCTGACATCTGATCGTTCTGTTGGCGTTTCCTTGAGTGTAGCTCTATCTAGTGGATGCATTGTAGATTGCGTCTTATAATGCGGTGCGTCCAATATAGAAAAAAAATTACAAAATTGGCCATTCATTGAAGGTGTGCCTCATAATCCAGTGCGCCTTCTAGTGTGGAAAATACAGTAGTTTAATTTAGAACGGTGAAAAAAACCCCCCAAAAAAACAGGAAATTAGCTCTCATGCAGTTTAAATGAGTTCAATAAATCTCTAGACAATATCACAGTGAACGCGAGTCTTGGAGCCATCCAGATGTGCTTTCCGCCGCGCCCAAATCAGATTTTTTTTTTTTTTTTTGCTTAATTTTCATCATCCTCAACGGCAGTAAAAATTTTTGAGACCACCACTATATACATTGCAATAGAACAGGATCTCCGACGTGAAAGGAGAGTTGTGTGTGCACCCTCTTGCCAAGAGCTAACTCTCACGGCCGGAAATCTAAATGAGTCTCGAGCACATGGCGCACGCAAGTTTTTTCCCTGTTTAATTGTGTTGGCGGCACTCACTTGTTGGCCCCTTAACTGAACGTGTCGCAGTGTTGTTCCCCGGCACTCAAACTCTTGTGGTGTTGATTGTGTTAAGATATGACTGGTGTGATCATGCATTTGTGGAAACAATGTCGGACCGTGTATCACATGGCTTGCTGTTCTGTTTTTTTTTTTTTTTTAATTCACCCCACCGCAGCAAATCATCAAACGTTCAAAATTGGATGCGTAAAATATTGAGTGTATAGGAAACGAAACCAAAACCCCTGCTTGCAATTATTGCTTTCAACGACAAGGATTGGCGGAAGTTCTCATTGAAATATTGCATTCAAGTCAAGCTGCTTTTGGCCTTGGGTTCGCACAAGTCGATTTTGAATGGCAGCCGCTGTGATCTGCCAGCTACAAGTAAAGCAGACAGACAAGTTTAACTCGAGTGGAGTCTACACAAAGGCCAGCCACCAATCCTGCGGTTCCTCTCTCCGTTCTTGGACCCTCCGAACACGTTTTACCCAACCTCAGAATGACTCAATCCTCCCCCGAGAGAACCGTCGGTGGGAAAAAAAAAGTTTGGATTGACGAGACAACAATCGAAATCAATGAGTCCCTTTACAAGAGAAGTCGCAGAAGCTTCTCCCGTTTCTCGATCTAAGCGCCATGGCAACACCGGCTTTGATATTTAGATCCCCTCACATTTGTTACCGCGGCACTCTGAAGGGAATATTGCCTTTTTTCCGAGAGGCAGGGAGCATTTGCGTTAATTGTCTCAAAGGCTATCATGTCTCTCGTCTTTCCCCAGATTCGGAGGGCCTCCTTGTTGCAGTCAGGAAATGTGGACTGCACCGTACGGAAAAGTCACTCTTGGACCATGTGACACTGCATCACCGGCATCCAGAGAGAACCTGACACAGTGACATGCTTTTTGTAGCCACCCCACCCAAGAGCTTTTGTTCCCCAAAGTTCCCGGCGAAACGTTCGATACAACCCGACCAACATCCAACTGCAATGGATCGCCTGTGTCCGGCGGAAGGCGGAAGCCGGACACGGGCCCTCGTCGTCAGACTGTAGCCCCCCCCACACCCCCCCAGCCGCCTCATTTGTGTTCAGCTCACACCCAGTGATTCTTCATCTTGGAATTATCACCTCCTCGGACCCCGCCCGGGATGGATGTACCCGAGGCCGGCAAGCATGGCAAGAAGTCAGCAGGTCAAAAGCTGGAGGACCAGAAAAAGGTCAGCAAACGTTTTCCTCCTGATTAGCGACCGTTGTTTCTATGCTCCGCTTGACTCTACTGCGAAAGTTTATCGTCCTTGCTTATTTCCGCCTTGATCGAAAAAACCTCGGTAGAACCCTTGTTCTATTTCTCCCAATACCTATTTATAAAGACGAGGGAGATCCTCCTCTGTGCCACCAGTCTTTCATGTGCGCTGGTGGGCAAGGCCTGCCGGGAATGTACATCTACTCTTGTTTGATGGGGAGCGGGGAAAGACAAGAGTGCAAACGAGACAGCCGCTTGATCTATTTCGAGATTTCACGTGTACTCAAAGAGATAATGGCGAGCTAGTGGGCTAATGGTAGCTGTTTTTTTTTTTTTGTTTTTTTGTCTCTCAATTCACTCTGACCTCCAAGCGGGTCATCTCGATGCCGCCGTGAAACCGGTGGCATCGATCCGCGCCGCTCCCAGCCGAAGTTCATTCATTTGCCTTTTCACAATGTGGGGATTGATTGATGGGCGGCGCTTTTGCAATCGTCTGTGGCTTTTATGGCCAATAAAGTCAAACAAAAAGGTTCAGGTCCAGGTTTCATATGGCAGCTGTCAAATACCCAAGGCCACATTCGGAGGCATCGATAGACTGCGTAAAACACAGACCCGATCGCTGTAAAGACCTTTTGATCAGACTTTTCAAGCCAGAGGAAAATGCACAGCAATACATCAGCACTGACATTTGTAGTACGACCAGGGCCTCGTACAGACCCAAATACAATGCAAGTGGGCATATTTAAAACACCCCCAAAGCCCAAAGCCACAGGGACATACATCTTACCACTTTTGCTCCGAGGTAGTAACATTGTAGATCTTTTTTTTTTTTTTTTTTTTTTTTTTAATAGGGGGGGCCCACGAAAAAACTTT